AGTTATTACTAAATCACTCAGTTGACGGTTACAAATAATACGCACTATTTAGATAGGTCTTCCAAGATTTAGTCATTTCTAAATTAACTTAGACAAAGTAGGGCCCAGCGAGTGTTATTATATACGTCCCTGAATGCATTTGCAAGAAGTTGGAGCTAATCCTTTTTCCTAACTCTGGTGCCTGGTAAGTCTCATTAGCTATAGCAGATCTGCACTCGCTACCATGTAGCTTCACACAACTGCCTACGCTTTCAAAATATGATGGAGCCACCTATAAATAAATATAAAAGAAAGCAAAAGGTTCAACAACTCAGTGAATTACGCTGTCCCTGTGTGCTACTCAAAGGCAGCTCGTTAATTAGATTTGCATCTGAAACAGGCAGTAGGAGTTTTGGGGAAGTGTTTGAGAGATAATTAGTATTAATGTGCTCGAAGGGCACACAAATACACCTTTGAAGTGAGTCACGTCAGAATTCAAGCGTTTGACCTTGATCAATATAATTTTTTTCCAGAATCCGTGAACAAGAAAAGGTCTATAAAATATTTTTTAAAGACATTCCTATGTAGAGCAAGAGGATTTTCTTACACGTTAAAGAGATCTTAAAAAAAAAAAAAAAAAAAGAAAAAAGAAAAAAAGAAGCTTTGCTTTTACTAGTGGGAAAATAAGGGAAGAGACACGACCTTTTCCTAAAAGGAATGGCAGGAGGACGAAACGGTCTCGAAAGCTACTCCCTATTTTAAGCTGTGCTTAATATTTAGTAGTTCTCCAAGGCTAAAAGGCTTTTCATTATATAGTCGTCTGGAATAAAAGGAAACACATAAAAAACCCACAAGCACCCCTCTCCGCCATTACCACCCCTTCCTCCCCCTTTTCTTCTCCACAAGTTAAGCCCTAGCCTCACAAGGAGAGTTTGATCTGGGGATGATAAATGTTTGTACAATTAATTCTTTATTGCTGTTCTTCTGCAATGCCACTTCCAGGCAGTCATGTAGTTCCAGTGGATTTAGTAAAAGTAAACGACTGGAAATTAAAATAATTGAAGCCCTGTATCCACGTAAAAAGATGAAAACATAAACTTGCAGGACCCCGATCCTGGAGTGCGTGTGGGGCGGGGGGGATTGTTGCTTGCGGGCCAAATCCTTCAGTCCCTTCTGAAACAAGAACCCCTCTGAAAAACCTTCCTCTCGGGGATGCACCGCAAATCGTGTCCTACGGACTCATAACCTCTGACGAGCTACAAGACAAAAGCGGCAGCAGAAAAATAACTCTTAGCGTGCCACGAGTCTCCTGAAAGATGCTTTCACCGGCACCGCGCGGAGGCGAGATAAAACATACTTCCAGTAATTATAGAGGTCTCTTCCGAGCAAATCTCGGGTCTCGTCCCGAGCCTAGCGCTCGCCCTGTAGATGTGCAGCTGACATTTTACAATTTTGGATTTGCAGGGCATTTTTCCT